TTATTTTTTAAAATTTACATCCAAATTAGTTATTGTACCCAAGAATAAAGAGTTGATAGTATAGGAAATTAACTAATAATTTTACTCTAAAATCATATAGAAAAAGAGAATCTATTACATTTTTTAAAGTTTTCAATAGAGATCCCAGTGCATTTTTTATTTTATACACAAGGTAGGAAAAATATTTCATATACTTTATGTAAATCGATGATGACACAAAAACCTTAAAGATCATCTTTACAGGGACTGTATAAGAAAATGAAACTGAATTTGAATATTATGGCCAGTGTATTCATTTACAAGTATACCCTGTTTTGAAATTCTTAGGACCCAATGTTTGATGAAGCAAGACAAATTAGTTATACCCAAGTTTCTTATCTATGGGTACCATTCCATTCCATTTGTTATATATATATATATATATATATATATATTTTTTTTTAAGCATTTTCAAGAGAGGTATTCCCAATTACAAGGAATCATTATAAAAGATTGAATGAGACAAAGCAAGTGTGAAGTTCAGATATTGAAGGAAAGGAAGGAATACTTTTGTCCGTTTGTCTTGTTATTCATTACATCCACGGTGAAACAAACAACAAGATATAGATTTAGTTAAAAATGCTAGAAGAAAGTAGTGAAAACTCTCAATACACCTGTTGTTAAACACTGAAATGTGTTATCCTGAGAGCTTGTTGGATTTCTTAGTCTGAGAATTTTAGTAATAGTGTAGAATTACTTGTACAGTCTCTTATGAATCCCAGAAGAGGAAATTAGATAAAGGAGACCTCGTCTACTCTGAAGAGTTTAAGAAATATTTATTAAACTCTACAAATAAAAGAGTCATCAGATAAAATGGGGCAACTCAAATATGTAATTCAGCACCTACTGGCACATTAAAAGTTCCCTAAATATTATGCTCTATTGCAGCTTAAAATACATTTTAACTCTGAAAATGCTATCATTATAATTGTCCCACCAATGGACAAAAGCTTTTAACATCAAAAGGCAAAATCATATGCAGTTGACATTCACATTGTATAAAGATCAAGTTATACAAAATGAGAAATAAAAAAATAATAGCCACAGGTAGATATTTCTATATAATCAAACTCAGTATTTTAGTTTAATGGAAAAATTTAGCCAATATTAAAGAGGGGGAAAAGTATTCCTGTTTTGTGACAATGTCAGAGAAATTTGCCTTGCAAAGTATACAGCAAAGCTACCTTCATCTCTTTTGTACCCACAAATATGCCCATATACATATACAGCTACTATAAAACTTAATTTCAGAATAATTTAAAGGTTCACAAAAATTATATTTCTCAAGATAGTTAATCAACATAAGCTAAATTTTTCATCACGCTCCAGCATCTTTTCAGCTAGTGGTGCTCTCTGTTCAGGACCAAATTCTGGTTAATGCAATATTTTAATGGAATTTATACTGGCTGCAGTCTGCTTCTCAGCCTTGCCATACTCAAGACCACTGGGAGGCAGGGGTGAGTACTAGACAATACAAAGATAACAGAATAATTTTCATGTTATCTTTCCTTTAAGCAACCCCAACATTTGGTGGTTAAATATATCTCAGCAAGGCACTATTAAAGTTCATTCAGATTGCTTCTCACATTCTAGGGGTGTTTTCAAGCAGGTCATATGACCTGATTTTTAGGTCTTTCTAGTTCAAAATTATTGAATAAGCCGAATGGAGACAGAAGAGTCAACTTTGTTAAAAATAAGCTTTATTCTGCTTTTTTTAGAGACAGGGAAGAGCAAAGGGTGGGAAGCTGAAGTGGAGTAGAGTCAGGAGCCAGAACTGTAATCCTCCCTTACTTTCCCCATCCCAACATTCCTGAATATTCCTCTGGCTTCTTCATGGCCAAAAAAAGCAGGAAAAAATGAGGAAGTCAGGAAAATTATTGTTTGGTTATGCTAGTACGAGGTCTTTCCTAATTGATAATGGAATTCAATGAGGTTTCATAATGAGTCCAGTTCAGTTAAACTTCTGTTTTTTTCAGTCATGTGAAAGTGATGTCAGACTCTGCTCTCTGTTTTGAGAAAAGTCTTTCAAGTTTCTTTGGCGTATTCAGATGCTACCAGAGCCGTTGGTTACCAAAAGGAACATTCTCTTTGGCAAAACTCCCTGAATCCCTTTGTTTGACTAACTTCAAACGTTATTTTCTAATTGCATTTAATCTAATTACACGACATCTCATGTTCCTCTAATCCTTGGTCACTACCTAAACTTCTAAGCCTTCCAGTTACTGCCTGTGTTGCTTTCTTTCCCATACCCATTTTTTCTTTGCTTCATTTCTCCCTGCTTCTCCTTTCCTCCCTCTCAAAATTCATAGAGAATATTCTGGAACGTTGTATAATATGAAACACTTCTATAGTCCTTCTTAACTAGGTATTTATCACAGGATCTAAAGGTGGAAAAGGCATTCTGCTACGTCCTAATTATGAGTTTTAAACGATACACGCTGTCCCAAGTGCCTACCTTCCCAACTCACTGCCTGCCCTCCCTCACTGCTACCATCTTCTGTTTTTCTGACTGCTCCACAGTTAAGGATTTGCATTGCCTTTTTTAATACCCAGGCACTATGCTTTGTGACAATGCTTTTCATGCAGGTTATCCATTCTACTGTCCACATTCATGGCTCTTAACTTTGATCTCCCCTGCTAACCCCACCCACCCATCCACCCATGCACCCATAGATGCACAGATTACACACTCAGTTTGGCTACCCATTTCCATGAGTCTCTCATGGATTTGTCATCTAGAAATACTATCAGATCAAGAAATTTTAACTCTAATTCCTGAATCTTTATCCAAAAACTACTTAATCATTCCGACCATCTTATGCTCTCACTTATATGGTGCCTTTAGTGATCTCCATTTTTTCATTTATCCTCCCTACAACTTCTCTACACACAACCCACTCATCAGCAACCTCTTGCTCTCGATCTCCCCAAGCTTAGATTGTAGTGCTTAGGGGTTAGGGATTATAAAATACCCATTTCTTGATCTATACAAGAAGTTAGTATATAACTAAGCAGAAGTCATCACAGATTACCATAAAAGCTGAACATATCTTCTTGTAATAAACTTGCTCTTATTTCCAGCCCCAACACATGTTTGTGTTTGTCCCTGGCACAAACTCATGAAACCATATAGCTATCAGTCCCCCACTTCTATAGTATCTCTTTTTCTGCACTGCACTTGTAAAACACAATTCCAGAGCAACTACTCGGTCACGCTTTTCATCGTACATACCCGTTTTACTGAATGAACTATTGGAAAAACCCCCACAGCTTTGAAGACTGCTACCCAACATATTCACATTTTCTAATCTTCAGTCTGATCTTTTAACTCTATTTAACACGTAACCCTATTAATGTATTATAACAGCTTTTTTTTTTAAAAGAAAATATAGGCACTCAGATATTGAGTCAAAAATATCTGTCTGTCTGTGTACGTTCTTATCGCTGCTCTCCAGGGCCAGAGCATAGTGTGCCCCACTTCCTGGGTAAAGTCCATCTTCAGCCAGATCAGGGTTACTTTACTGTCCTCTCTGTCTTATCTTCTTCCCATCTGCTATGCACACGCCCCTATCAAAGTGATTTTCCTAAAACACAAATCTTGTCCTGTCACCACTCTCCTAGAATCTCCTCCAACAGCTCTCTGTTGCTCTTAGACTGAAGTCTAAATACTTCCATGTCACTTTCAAGACTCTGTGTTACTTGATTCCAGATGTCTCCTCTCTAACATACTGACCCTTGCAGTTGTTTCCTCCTGCCTTAGGACCTTTATGTGGAATCTTTTGTTTAGAGCACTCTCCCGATCATCCAGGTTTTTTACCTTATAGCCCAGCTGCTCCACCCTCCAATGAGCCAGTCCACTTTCAAACTTACCTCAGGTTTCATTTGATCCTTCAGACTTCAATTTAGACTTCTACTTTCTCTAAGAAGACATCTCTGAACCTCCATAGTTGGATTAGGTGATATGCTTCCTTGAAATCCTATATTATACCTAACATAGACTTTATCATAGTGTGTTTTGATTTTTTTGTTTACTTTTCTGTGTTTCTCACTAGACACTAAGCACTGTAAGGTCAAATACAACATTCATCTTTTTCACTGACTCTTCTTAGAGGTCAAGTGTTTCTATCTGAAACAATATTTTATGAACTGAATAGCAATAGACTTGGTAAGATTATAGATCTCAGAGCATATGTAAATGAGCAATTGAAATCTGAAAGGACTCACAGGAACATATGATCTGCTTTACAAAGACGACCAGGAATGATAGGCATGCGATCTGAAAAAAATTGAGGTCATTTAGAAATTGCTCCCCACACCCCAAATAAAAGACATTGCCGAATCAAGGCAAATGTTACCAAATTCCTTAGGAATTACTTGCTGGTTTACTTGCAGAGAAAGTAAAGAGTGCTCAGATTAAGAAGACAGCATTTGCTTCTACAACCTTGCCACAGCCTGACATCAAGTTTCAGGCCAAGTTGAGGGTTTTCTTTTCTTTATTTTTTTGTTTATTTATTTATTTTCAAAGAGAGAGAGAGAGAGAGAGCCAGTGCAAGAGCAGGAGAGGGGCAGAGAGAGAAGGAGAGAAAATCCCAAGCAGGCTCCATGCTGTCAGTGCGGAGCCTGATGAGGGCTCCATCCCAAGAACCACAAGATCATGACCTGAGCCAAAATTGAGAGTCAGGAGCTTAACTTACGAAGCCACTCAGACGCCCCCAAGTTGAGGGTTTTCTAACAAAAATATTCTCAGTCTTGGGGCGCCTGGGTGGCGCAGTCGGTTAAGCGTCCGACTTCAGCCAGGTCACGATCTTGCGGTCCGTGAGTTCGAGCCCCGCGTCAGGCTCTGGGCTGATGGCTCAGAGCCTGGAGCCTGTTTCCGATTCTGTGTCTCCCTCTCTCTCTGCCCCTCCCCCGTTCATGCTCTGTCTCTCTCTGTCCCAAAAATAAAATAAACGTTGAAAAATATTCTCAGTCTTTGTGGATAACCAGATCCATTAGAGAATCTGTAGTACTTATAGTCTGTGTAAGAATTCAAAAGCATGGAATGGAGACATTTAAAAGTATGGTTGACCATTACAGGTAAGTCCATATTAGTATTTTCTACACTGAGATACAAGAGAAATGGAAAGTGTGTATTATTATTTTTTGACTGCTTAACTGTGTTTATTGACTGCACCATTGCATCCACACTGGTTGAAAAACTTTTATTTTTGCTTAATACATTTACGTTGTTTACATAAAGTGATCTTTCTGTATTCTTTCTAATTATGTACTTTACTTATTAAGTGTCAACTATACTTGACGCAAGGTGTGAGGCAGAGAAGAAAAAGAGAGAACCTTGCTTTTGGACTGATTCTGACTTCAGATAGAATGAGCTAGCAGTCAGTTAGAGGGTCCATGACTGTTGTGGCAAAAGATATCACAAGTAAAGCTAGTGTCTCTTGAGGGTGTTTGAGAAATACCTGTTGAGTTTTATAGATTAACTAAGGATCACCTAAAGCCTTTACTTCACATCAAATATTTTAGTTACTTGGTGTTTCTCAAAAACTGTATTAGGCCCAAAGAGGCAGGATACAAACCTCTGTGTATCCCGGGTAATGAGGTAAATGAAGCATTTTGGCATTATGCACATAGCCTGCCAGATAAGACACTAACCGGAGCAGATTTATAAGGATTTCTATTTAAATTCTGTAGAAAAAATTCCTGAAAAATTTTCAATGTTTAGCAAATAACAATTAATTGTAAATATTTCAAAGTGCATAACTCCTCATAGCTCTTCTCTTTATTTAGTTTACTATTCCCTGTTTTCATTTAAGAAACATAAAATACTTGTATGTAGTTTTCATGCATATATATTTCTGGTCTCAAACTTTCTAGTTCTATTTTTTTATAAAGTCACAAATGTCTTGAGATTTTAATACGACTATCATGCATCTTTTAGTAGCATAATCCGGACAGTTGGAGAGGCAACAATGTTTTTGTATTTATTAACATTTTTCACTTCAGGTCAGGATTCAACATTTGAAAAAAAAATCACAATCTCTTTTTACCTTGAATTTATGTTTAATTATTTTGATAGACTGTATTATTGGTAAAATTACACACAAAAAAAGTCACCTTAGCTGGTGTGGGAACAGAAATCTGCAATATTTAATTCAATAGAAAAGCCCGGGATCAGGGTAATAATTACACCTGTGAAATTATGCCATGTGGTTGGTAGCAGTCATAAAACAGTAACACACCCTTCCCCTTACATAGCTCAGGATAGAATGTCCCTGGTGTCTATATTTTAAGTGAAATATAGGGGCAAAGTCAGAGATGTAAATACTGGAGTTGAAGCTTCTAATCAATTCTGTCTCTCCCGAAATTATTGACAGAAAACAAGTGAGTCAAATATCAGCCCTATATGGGAATACTTTTAATGGGAATGAAAATTCACCCACTGTCTTTCTGAAATGGCTGTTTTCTCCAGCACAACCCTTAAATCCACAGTTCTCCAAAATGTTGCTTGCATGAGGCACTAGGAGTTTGAATTACTGGCTGAGTCATCAGGTCACAGGGACCTCAGATAGAAATTTCTGTTGTTTATTTAGGAAATGAAAGAGATTTGTTGAAATATGGAAATTACAGTCTGTCATTTGCAGGAAAGTCTCTTTGTTTTAGGCATTCTGAAGAAATATGCAAGTGCTATAAACAACCTAACACTAAAATTTTTTCAATGCCACAATTCAGAGAAATAATAAAATGTAATTGATAGGCTTAGAGATCATGAAGGAGCTGTTGTTTGTCGAGGAGTTTTTGCACCACAACGTTCTATTACTGAAATAATTTACTTTTATATCTGGTGCTGATATTGGAATCTGTACATTTCTGGTATAAAATAACTTTAGGCATTTTAAATATACTTTATGTTCAAGTAAAAACCAGAGAAGGAAGCTTTGGTGTTCTTAAACCACTCTGGATGTCTTATATTTCCTTCTGTTCGAAGAGTGCACCACAATCATTCAATGCACAAGGAAAGAAATCTTGTGCTCAAATACTCTTAGGCGGTGGTGAGAGCACGTGGCCAAGCTGAAGGGCTTCCCAGATCTGAGCAGTGTTTTGCGCTTCTTGGCTGATGGATGCCGACACACACAGCTCCCTAAATCACCCCTACTTTAATATCCAGGCCCCGCTGAAGGGACTGGACTGATGTGAGCCTGAATCCAAGCCTGCTCTTGTTGGATTTCATTCAGCTGGAAAAATGAACATGTAACAGCCACTGGGAATGGGCTTTGCTTATATGGGAAGTCCTCCCAGCCACTGCTTTAACTCTGGTGACCTTTTCTCCAACACTTAAGACTGCAAGGAACTTGGGCGATGTGGGAGAGGGGGAAAAAAAAACAGTTTTTAGAATTTTGGTTGGCAGGGCCACAAGCTACTGAGACCATATGAATTTTGCAACAAGAGGCCAACTCTGATTGCTGAGGCTCACTCCTTCTTTGGATATAGATAGCCTACCTCATGATACTTGTGCTCTTTCCTTTGTTTTAAGAATATTTCTGATTGTGGTGGTACACCTGCTCACATGCCTTTTTCTCCCCTAAATTAGCAAGTTCCTCCAGCGTTTTAACTCCAGTGGTGACAAGCAAGATCTACCTCTCCTTTAAGCTGCTTTCCTGTTACTAAAGACTAGATGCTTACTTTGGGTTAGCTAATTGTTGGTCTGTAAACTTTCAACATTTCTCATTTTACCCAGAGTGAAAAATAAAACCTCCATGGGAAGCTAGCACATACTTAGGAGAATGATTGGTTTCTTGCTTGTCAGCACTTCAGGAGGTGGGGTACAAACAAAGCTTCCCTTTCCACTGGAATTGAATTCTTGTTTGGCTCCTGGCCCACTCTACAGATAACCAAACAGAGGCAAACACACCACGTCAAAGCACAAACCAGGGATATGGGAAGTCTGCAATGGGAGACAAGAATATGTATCATTCCTTATCACAACTCTGCAATGCTTTTTATTTTCAGCTTTCCCGGCCTAGTATATAGGCGCATCAGTGAAAGAGTATCCTGTATATTTAGCTCTCTCGGAAAGTCACTAGATAGAATCGAACACCACTTTTAGGAAGCAAATGCTTTTATTACTGTTTATACCACAAACTAGAATTCACAACACTGAAAAAAATATGAAAGTTGTGGCTGCTGTTTTCTTGGAAGGAAATTCTTTATTTCTCAACCCTAATTTATTACAAAATGAGTTTGGGTCATTAGAGAGAATCAGGAGCTATTTTAAATCCTGAGAGGAAACGTTTCTTCAGAGACATTTGTTCTTTTGTCAGTTTGCTACACAAATGGCTTCTAACCCTGCTTTCTAAGATTTAGAACATCTTTTTTTTTTCTTTTCTTTTGGTATAAGGATTTGAGGGGAACTGAGACTGACTTCCATATTATTCAATCTGATGGCTCTATTCATGTGCATTTAACTTGCATTTAGTGCATAAAAATGGAATACCTTGGTTCTAATTTATTTCAGGTACAGATTCGTTAACAAGTTTATAAGAATAATCTTGAAATTACTGTAGGTGAAGCAGTCTCCAGTTAGGACAGTACACAATGTCTTGTGAGACATCTTTATGTGAGTGAAACACCTACTATTTGGTGTCGACAGAGGGCTACGCCTCTCATGTGTGGTAGCTAATCAGGTACAAAGGGAATTGAGTCCTCACATATTGCAGAAATATTTTGCTGCCGAATTCTCTCTAATCTCTAGAGTGTGTTGGCCTTTGATGTTTCTGAAACATAGCCACCTTATTAACCTCCAATACACAGGGTAATTTTTACTCACGTAGGGGAAGATAGAATCCTCTCAGCCAGTATGACAATCGACACTGGTAAACAAGCAAATAGGAAAATGAAGAGACTAGCTCAGAATATAATATCCCATTCTCTGTCTATAGATCCTATGTAGATGTTGATGATTTGATTTACTTTCCATATCAAAAGCAATATCTTTCCTGAGGCAATATTCTAGTAATTTGTAATGAGTGGACTGAACTGCAATGATGACTTAAAAAAAAAAGACATTTAATGATTTTTACCCTAGGTCCTGTGGTGTGAAAACCCACATGAAACCAGATGAACATTAGGTAAATATTCTTTATTAGAGGTGAGTTGAACTTAAAAGTGATTATGTCTTAATTGCCAGCGTTGCTGTCTTAAATATAGCAGTGACACGTTTTAAGAGAAAATAACATTTCACGATTAATGCTTTAAATTAACAACTCACAACTGGGTAGACTTCACTGCAATCTATCATGTTGAAGATAGGTGAGGTTTATATTCAGGGGTACCTCTTACATTTTCTAAGATTTCTTGGCCTTATTAATTCAAATCTTACTCTCAATGCATGCATGCAGCCAAGATAATTACGAGAAGGCAAGATCAAAGCCAGCATATTATAGTCCTATTCCATTTTCTGCTGATGTGAGTGATGTGCCTCTCCTTTGATGTTGTATGCTTCTACAGCGAAAGTACAGAGGATAAAAATACTACACCATGTAATCTGGCATTTATCCCATGAGAGCAGAATTCCAAATTGTGACACATGTCAAGAAGTTAAAAAAAAATAACTTAAAAGAGGCCTATGCTTTATAAAGTGACATACTCTGCATTTAAACACCATCAAACATCATCTTCCATTACAAATTTAGTCCCTGATATAAAATTCAAAGAATTTTGTAACTTTAGCAGAAGAAAATAGTTACCATATTTACTAGCAATTATATTAAATGTGTGCCTGAGCCTTTATCCCACCTAATGAGGGCAGTTGACAGGAAGCAGACGCACAGTGTACACATGCATATTTGTGTTTGTACATCCATTCAAGGATTTGGAGTCAGCTGTGTGTACTCTACACATCTATCCAGCTGGTTTTAGTTTGCTATGAATCTTCTATCACCTTAGGTCATGAGGTTGAGCAACTGGCAGATCCCTGTACTAGTTTTGATTAGAGAAACAGAGCTCTTGGTCTATAACATTACATGTAACTTAAATATTTATCCTTATGTTCTATCGCTGGCAATGTGCTATTGGAAATTAAATGTCACTGGTCTGATCTTACTGTTTCTTACAGTGTCCTTTCCTGTCCTCTTTCACCTTTTAGAAATATGTTAAAAGTGTGTATGTGTGTGTGTGTGTGCGTGCGTGTGTGTGTGTGTGCATGTGTCATGCATGTGTTTGGTTTGCTTACATTTGCATGAACATAGATACTGCAGTATTACTTCTAAATTACCTTTTCTAGAAAATTAAATTGAATTCTTGCCCTTCTGAAGGAAAATAACATTTCCCAATCATGCCTAACTTACTAGTTAGTTCTAGTCCATTCCATTTTGGACTCAGACCCTTTAAGCCACCATGATATGACATAAATGTTTTGTCAAGAAAATGTAAAATTGTTTAGACTACATGGCTGTTACCTCTAAAGCACAACACCCGATATTGAGAAAACTGATTTGATAGGCTACAACTTAACCTTCGCTTCAAATCAAAACCCAAACTATTTTTTATTTTGAAAAATAATGGCTCTCAGTTTTTCCTTGAACTAAATATTCAAGAGGTTCTGAATCCCAGAATGATTGCAAGGTATGCAATGGCAAGGTAAGAAGACCAAAACAGATATAAATATATTTAATCTTGCTTCTCCCTTCTCTATTATTGGAATGACCTTCTATTAATAAGGTTAAATACAATAAAAGAAAGATCATGAAGTAGAGCTGAATGTGTTAGAGAGAAACCCCTCTGGTGATCTTTGACATGTTATAGAATATGGTGGTGCTAGAACACTATATGTGAACATATGTCATGATGACTTTTGGAGACTATAAACATGTAGTCTCGATATACATTTCTGACAAAATTTTAAGGTACATTTTTAAACAAATGCTTCTGAGGCAATGTGAAATAAGGGGTGGAGTCACATTTTGTCAATATGTGTTCAGTTACAGCCAATTATGTCTGTGTAATACCAGTCCCTTTAACTTCAGCACTACACTAAGAATATATCACTTTATTCCATTTATTAATTTAGTCTTGGTCTTTTGGGCCCACTGTATGTCAAGTTGGAAACACAAAGTCTTACATCCTATTCACTGGGATCTCCCATGCCCTCACTGGTTACTTCTTTTTAGTTTTCTTTTCCAGGTTTCTTAATTTTTCCTCATTTCCAAACGCTGGATTGATTTCTCAATCTAAGCATCTGAGCTCCTTAGTTTTCTATCTACACTCAATTCCTAAGTCATCTCCCTCACTCCTAGAGCTTTAAATACCACCCAGATGCTAGAGCCCTCACATTTCTACCCTTAGCCCAAGACTGCCTGTCTGAATCTAGACTCATATGCCCAACTTCTCTCCCAATGATCTCTCTTTGGCATTTATATTTTTCTGTTGTTTAGCCCCATTGTGCCATTATTATGTTGTAGTCACTGTTCTAAAGGTTTACGTGTCTTAACTAATTTAGTCCTCATAATAACTCCATGAAGTTGATAATATTATTATTCTCAAATTATAGGTAAGAAATGTGGGATATAGTTACTTGCTCAAGTTAACACAGATAGAAATCTACAACTCAGACTTAACATGTTCCAAATATAACTCCTGGTTTCGACTCCACTGCTTATCCTTTGCCAGTTTCCCTTGCCAGTCCATAGTGCCTCCATCCATTCTACCAGTTGCTTCAAAGTACTTGAGATTTCTTTTATTGTTTTGCCCACCGCATCCAAACCGTCAGCAGACTTTGTCCAGTATCTGACCACTTCGCAAGGCCAACATCATCCTTCCTCTTCTGGACTACTGTAATATCCTCCTAACTAGTCACTTTGCAGCTAGATTAGCCCTATTGTGACAAAAGAAAAATCAGTAACTTCTGTGCTCAGGGTCGTCTCAGGGCTTCGCATCTCAGAATAAAATGTGACATCCTCAGTGTGGCCTCAAAGATCCTCATGATTTTGTCCCAGGCCACATCTCTGACTCTGCTACAACTCACTTACCTCACCCTTCTCTATATCATTTCTTCATTTTTCATTCCTAATGTCATCCTTATGGAAATTGCTTTTTCCTCATGCACTAATCACAATAATGCCTATCTCATCTCATAACTCTTTGTCCTCTTTTTTTAAAGTCTTAAGTTTCAAATAATGTGTTCCTTAGTATTTCTTTATAGAAATACAACTATGTTCCAGAAAGTGAAAGTTTGGTGTGTGTCAGTTATATGTGACTTGAAAAGGAATGTATAGACCATTTTGAATAGAGCAGACTTCTAAATAAAAAGTAAAATTTGTTTTTTATTTTTCCATAATAATAAATTTGTAGCTGGGAGGTAGATGCTCAGGCTGATACTGCCTTACCCTCCCTTAATCACTTCTTTTTTGTTTGTTTGTATTTTGTTTTGTTTTGTTTTGTTTTAGAGAGATAAAGAAAACACATATGTGAGAGAGGGGAGAGGCAGAGGGAGAGAGAGAATCATAAGTAGTCTCCATGCTCACCCTGGAGCCCTTTGTGGGGCGTGATCCCATGACCCTGGGATCATAACCTGAGCCGAAATCAAGAGTCAGATGCTCAACTGACTGAGCCACCCAGGCGCCCCCCACTTCTAAGTGTACCCATATAATGATATTCTTGCCAACAAAAGATGAGTAAAATGATTAATATGTGTCACTTCTAGATGTAGGACTTGAAAAATTGTTCATGTGTTCTACTTTTTCCCCTTCACGTGAGTTTCAAGGTGGACATGTCTATGTTCCAGGTTCAGCTGTATAAACTAAAACTAGGAATGATGAAGAAGAAGAAGAAAGGAAGCAGGAATCCATGTTCCTTAGTGGACACAGAAGTGAAGAGCAGCCAGCTAAATTAACCTGGATTGATGAATGTAAGGAAAACAAAAATGTTTATTCTTTGTGTCTTGGGAGTATATATCAGTAGCTTCTATTTTTATCCTCAATGATGCACAATTTCTTATCATTCAACTTTGCCTCCAGTTGGAATGTGAATTTGGGATGTTGGAGTTTGAAGAGCCTTCTTGGACAATGAGGTAAAAGCTACATGTTGATGACATAATATCCAGATTCCTTTTAATCTTGGAACACATAAGAGCACTCAATTCCCCAGATTTTGCTTATGTGAAAGAATGAAACAAGTGGCTTTATTTTATCTACTTTCATTTTGGATTTCTGTCACTTGAGCTGCATCTAATTCCAACTAATTAACCGGGCTGTATTCCTTATTATTTGCATTCTGTGAGTTAGTATAGAGCTAATACAGGAGCAATTCTGCTCTGGTCAAGAGGGTTACTCCCAGTCTGGATATCAGCACATTTTTTGTTTATTATCTAAGAGAATATGGCTCTTCTGCCTGAAGTCCTTTTTCATGAGCTATGATGTCACATGTACAAATGAATGGGTATTGTTATAAACCTGAGATACAGAAGTTTTCATTAAAAAGTTTCTATTTATCTTGTTTGAAGAGTTGCCTATTTCTTTCCTGTGATATCCCTAGAAGATAAATTTGTTGCAATAAGATAAAGGAAACTCTTCATTGAAAACCACAGCAAACAACTCAGGTCAGTTTTAAAGTGTATTTTCCACACCCCGTATTATTAGAGCAGGCCCAATTAAATTTTAGTGCCCAGGGACTATTCTTGCTATTATTTTCTAATAGAATGTGATATAATATTATCCTTGAAACAGTTTCAATTTAAATTACTACCCTCCCCACCCCATTCTGCTTTTACTCCCTTTATGTGGAATCCCTCCGAAGATACTGAACCTGAATTGTATCTTATCTCATGACCTATAGTTCCGGGCCAAAATTTGGAATTTTCATATATTTGTGGAATAGCCTTATAATCCATTCCATTTCAGAACAAATTTCTCTAATTATAATAAAGGAAGAAAAAAAATGGTAAATTGATAACCTGATATCTATTTGGAATAGCCCTTCTTTTCTTAACTTATTTAGCTATCAAAAGAAAGTTTTAGTCTGTTTTAAAAGTCCTAGGCCGTTAATATTGAGTGTACTTTGAAAATAATAGTAATATGTAATAGTGATGGACTATAATTTAAGCCTAATGTGGACAATTAGAAGTAATATTTTGTCGTACTGCCTGTTCTGAAATATTTTAACAGCGGTTATTCCACTTGTTTTCATAGTAGTAGTTTTTGCAGCAGGTATGACCATATTAAACTTTTATTTTTGATATGCAACCCAAGGCTTCTATAACTTTGGCAGGTACATAGCTAGCTTGTAGCAAAGGTAAGTCTATAGATTCCAGAGACTGTCATCTTCCTACTTGCCATGTAGTGTATAAATAAAAAACTTAAACTATCTCTTTGGAAGATTGCATTGCTGTCCTTGCACACATAGAAAAATTGTACCAATTTATGCAAAAATAGAATAGATGAGAGATAAGGCTTAATAAAATGTCTGTCCACTTCACTGGAATACTGGCTGGTAGTAAGAACATGCTTCCAGTTAAAGAAATAAAAGGTTTTAGTTAAACATCTTAATGAAGCTCATTTTTGTTTTTCTTTTTTCTGATATGGCTTCTTTTAACTCAATATTTGGTTTTACTTTCAAAGAAAGCATCCAGTGCCAGAAAACAAATCTATACTGGGAAATATTGCTTATAATTATCATCACTATTAACATCACTCTCATGAAAAATGCTTCTAATATATTTTAAGTGAGAGAGGCCATGTGTTTTTATATTTTTTTATATAAAACTGAAAATTTAGTTTAGAAGAATCTTTTTTGTTTAGCACCAGTAAAATGATGGATAATTTTCTGGCCTGTGTGCCTCTGTACTAACAATGTCATTTTGAAAAGGATGTGCTTTTGAAAAGTCTGAGGCAGTAATCCTGGGTACCTCAGGATCTATGTGTGGCTTGCTGCCTATTTTGAGCAAACTGTCTCCTCAATATATACTTAAAACTAATGATTTGTTGTATAATAAAAATTAAAAATTTTAGCAAAACTGACCAAGTGGTAAGTTTTGGCACCCTATTTAAACAGCTGGTTTCTTTAATGCTTACTCCCATGCCTAGTGAAGAGTGGTTTCTTAAAGGAACACATCTGATACAAATACCTTAAATATTATCAGTAATTCAAGGGAACGCAAGGAAATTTGAAAAGGGGCTCATTGAACTAACTTAGAAAACCCTGCAAATGTGTGAAAAATATGTATTTTCCCTTTTCCCTGAGTAAACTGCACAGAAACCTACATAAGTGGTGCATAAAGCTTTCATGACTTAAGCCCTAGGCTACATCTAAGTGGTCCCCACTGTATTCACATATAAACAATAGCACTGTATATTAAGAATCACAATAATAGCAAAAACAACTATAACATTATTAGCATGATTTTATTTTTATTTTTATGGCTTCTTGACTAGTTTGACAACTACCTACTGGCTTTTAGGAAATGCCTAAAATGCCAGTTATACATACTTTATGTCGGAGAAGATAGACAGCTTTAGTTTTACTCATGGGATCATCCACAGGAAAGCTTCTCAGACAAAAATTGGGGGGTCTCAAGTTACAATGAACATTCCATATACAGGCTTCCTTGTTATCAATTAACTCAACTTACTTCTTCATCAATTTTTTCTCCCTTCAGTCTTGATGGTTTTATGACCTAGACCCAGGCAATACCCTTAGGCGGTCCATGTGATAATTGACACATTTTCTAACACGGTATAGTGATGCCCAAGTCACTGCTTTCAGGCTGTGACTTGAGCTTATTGGAGTCTGCAGCAGGGGCTCCTTTTATCCTCATACATCAGAATACGCTGACAGCTCTCCCATGCAGGGACCACGCAGATCTCTCCCCCAGGAAAATATATGCAAACACCTCCAGAACATTGTAATGGTTGCTAGGCATCACAATGGTGACATCTTTATGATAAACACAGTATGCAGAAGAAGGTCTAATAAAAGAATAACAAATTATTACATGCAAAGGGCAATTTTACAAGATTAACGGGTATAATAAATTACTACTAGATCAGAATACCTTATTACCTTTTAAGGTATTTCACAGTGGAGACAAAGTGAACTGGCCTATAAAAACCCAGAGAATGTGGGAGAGAATAGCAAACTGCTTTTCCACATTTCTGAAAGAAAGTCACAATACTTGCCTTATAATATGGTGAGTTCAGCAAGTACTTATGCTAAAATAGGGTTATGCATGCAGTTCATGCTAAGATGTTTATTATGATTTTTCATATGGCTATTGTATCTTCAGTAACATTGCAATCTATATACTATTAACTTAAAAACTTGTAGGATTTTATTTCTAAAACAATTTCAATACATAAAATATTACATAGTAAATTCCAAGACTCACATTATTTTATAATAATTAGTAAATGTGTGTTTTTCAACAAGATAGTAGGAATTTTGTAGCAATGAATTGCTTCCTTTGATGATTTTCATCAGATGTTCAAGAAGTTAAAAGGAAAACGTTTCCAGATTTTCAAATTTACATTTCCCTTTTATTTTGAAAAAGTAACCAATGCTTCTTACTTTTTCTTGACTGTACTTATATTACAAAATGAGAAAAAAATTCTATTACTTGAACATTGGAGACATGACATTTGCAATATATAGAATTATTTTATTTTATTGAAAGAACTGTAGCTATTTAGACATTTCTAGTGGTGAGTCTAATCCTTTCCAAGAAATAAGAAAGTTAAAAGAGAGGATAGAGGGGATGGGAGAGGGAGAAAAGGGAGAAGGGGACAGAGGGAGTAAAGAAGAGAGAAAGAAGAAAGGAGATAAGGAAAGAGGGAGAGAGGGAAAGAGAGAGGAAATAAAGGAAGGAGAGAAGGAAGGAATGAAGGAAAGCCATGAGACTTTCTAAGTCTGATCACCTTCCCAAATATTTTGATACCTAGAGTTGAAAAATTGAGCTACTATTAAAATATTTTTAATGTTTATTTTTGAGACAGAGAGAGACAGAGCACAAAAGGGGAAGGGTCAGAGACACAGAATCTGAAGCAGGCTCCAGGCTCTGAGCTGTCAGCACAGAGCCCGACGAGGGGCTTGAACTCACGGACTGTGAGATCATGACCTGAGCCGAAGTCAGACGCTTAACCGACTGAGCCACCCAGGCACCCCTAAGATATTTTCAAATAGCTGCTTTAAGTTATGATTCATTAGATATAAATAATGCAACCAAACTTCATTGGTGATTGCTTTGAGCTATTTGTTGCTGTTATGGGTGACCCATTGGACTCAAGTTTGACCTAAGTAAACGGTACAGTAAAAAAAAAAATGCATTCACATTCCTTTTATCGTTTTTGCTACTGTTCATGGATACTTGAGATCAAGAGTGCGCTATTTATCTCTTTTCTACCATCTTTATAGCTCTTTCTATTGTGACTGCCATGCAATGGTAACTCACATGTAGGTGAAAGTCTAAAGAGTACAGTTTTCAATAACATCACACTTCAAGTGCTTTCTAAAAGGATGGTCCTCATCAGATCAGGATAATCAATATTCCTTTTGACTGATCTTGAAGTCTCCTCAAGTTGAGTTTGCTAATACTGACAGTGTGGTTCTTGTAGGTGGAAGAGGGAAATGGTGGAGTTATTATTGATAACTACTGGGTATAGATTGGAGGAAAAATTGGGGAGTGAGGGATAAGGGAGGCATTGAAGTTCCTCAAGAACAATTTATGCATTATCCTCCTCACTGGGAAATACACAGAGAAGATGGAAGCTCAGTCAACTTGAATGTTTAATGAATACTATTAGGTATCTGTGTGAGTCATTCACATTTTTAAAAATATGAATTGCTTTTTAAACTATCATGTAGAAAACATTTTATTTATTCTTTCTTTGATGCTATTCTATATTTATGCAGATCCAA